TTATGTATTTTGGCAAAATTTTAGAAAGAATATTTTTTCATTTATTTATTTATATAACTTTAATGCACACAGTACAAAAGTAACAGTACATTTAGCGGACTTAACACCATGCGGTATTTATATAAGGTTAATGTGGGCGATAAAGGAAACCAGGGAGTTGTAGGATATATATATATTGTATATGTTAATATTATAAAGAAACACTACTAACTAGGGCCAGGAAGGGAAACCGAAAAAGAACAATAGATAGTAGTGACAATTTAGAAGATAATTTTGGTATTCGAAATATAAAACATAAAATAGTTATAACCAAATAAGTGGCCTGTATTCCACATATTGCCCACCCCGTTAGGTTCGATACTAACAATAAATCATGGAATACAGGCATATAAAAAAAGTAGCAAAAATATTTACACACTTAGTTTAACAAGTTTGCGTACAGGACGCCTAAGCATCCCCCCAGCTGTTGCTACGTCCGCTACGCGAACTATTTCATCGCGTCCTGGATATACGGCGACTACACGGCCTTTGGGCCACACTCCACGAGCCATGTTTCCATCAGCAATCAGCACAATGTCACCAACAGCTAAATTTGTATATCGCTGCTGAGAGTTCCGCGTTGTACGTGGCGCTAGCTTTGGTACATACTCTTTCAGCCATCTTGACCAAAAATGGTCAGCTAGTCGAACAGCTTTACGCCAGTGCGATCTGCCAAGTAACACTCCGTCATCTAATGTGGTGGGGCCGGGAAGACCAGATGAGTGCCCAAGGAGGAAGTGATTCGGCGTGAGGGCAGGTCCCTCTCCTGCTTCGACCGATATGTGGGTTAATGGGCGCGAATTGATGACGTGTTCTATCTCTGCTAAGAACGTGATAAGAGTTTCTTCTTTAAAGGATTTACTCTTGACAACCGCTGCAAGAGCTCTTTTAACAGACTGAACTAGCCTTTCCCAACAACCGCCCATGAATGGAGAGAGGGGGGGAATAAAATTCCATTCTATACCACGAGATATCGCGTAATCTGCCACCTCTGCATGATTCATGGCTCTCCACATCGTTCTTATCTCTCGACTAGCTCCAACAAATGCCGTGCCGTTATCAGAAAAGATCTTGCTTGGTACTCCGCGGCGTGACATGAAACGTCTAAGTGCCATAATAGCAGCATCTGCACTCAAATTGCCAACAATTTCCAGATGTACTGCTCTGACGGAGAGACAGGTAAATAGCGCAACATATCGCTTTTCGCGTCTCCTTCCGATTGTTACCTCCATAGGTCCGAAATAGTCAAGGCCGGTGTTCAGAAACGGACGTTGATGGTGTTCTAGTCTGCATACCGGTAAATCTCCTTCAGGTGGAATCGAGATTGAAGCCTTTTTTATGCGGCATGCTTGACATCTAGCAGCAATTGAGCGAACAGTTGGTCGTAAATGAAGAATCCAATACCTCTGTCTCAATTCGTTCACAACCGTCTCATTATATCCATGACAAGCCCAGATGTGGTAATACTGGACCAGCAAGTGAACGATTTCGTTACGTCCATCTAAAATAGGAGGACACTTAACTTCGTCGCAGAGATCTGGCGTAGCTGATATCCTTCCATCAAGGCGTAGTAGTCCATCCGAACCAAGCTTTATCGAGAGATTTCCAATTCTACTGGATTTAGGAAGCGGAGTCGGTGCGGGAAGCGCTCTCAGTGCCATTACCGCCCGATCAAGAATTTGACCCGCCTGAATCGTTTGCTCATCGCGAAGAGTTTGGGATTCTGAATGATGCAGCACTTGTATCGTCGTCGAGGGGTAGGCTAGCAGGAGGACCTCCAGCGTCCAAGCTGCGGCAGTTACCTGGCTCGGAGTACGATCAAGGATGCTATTCAGGGATGCCGGTGAGTGAGTGTCGCGATGGCAATGTCCATCGCAACTTACAACAGGTCCAAACAGTACAGGTGAGTGAACTGTCCCGCTTGGCAGATGCCATTTTTACTCTAGCTAATAAAAATAGTAGGCCTTCACCCGTAGACCTTACCACATTCAGTGGTAACGTGAATGAGTGGCTACTATACAAAAAAATATATGACGATACGAAATCGTCCTATACGCCTGCCGAAAATATGGCCAGGCTGCGTAACTCATTACGCGGTGTAGCTCGAGAAGCAGTGTCAGTACTTTTACTTACCTCTTCATGTCCTGAGGATGTACTACAAGTCCTCGAGCTTCGTTTTGCTCGACCTGAGCAGATTGTTCTATCAGAGATAGCAGCAATTAAAGCTATCCCTAAACTTGGTAGAAATCCTAGTGATATTTTTATTCTATCTACAAAAGTAAAAAGCTGTGTTGAAGTAATGAATTTATTATGTCAACGAGAATACATTTATTCACCGGAATTATTACATAATGTCATTTCCAAATTAACACCTTTATTATACAGTAAGTGGTGTGATTTTGCCACAATTCACTACACACCCGGTCAACCACAACTCGAGTTGCTTGCTGAATTTTTATTGCAGGAGGCTAATAAACATGCACGCTTTGGACTGCCGTGTGAGGCAGTTAACATCATGTCTCATACGGAGAGGACGAGGGCGACATCCATGTCTGCGGCCCCGCGGACGGATTGTGTGCAGGCTGCGTACCGGAATGCACCCTCAAGGCAAACATGGGCGAACACTACCACAGCGTCTGTGCCCCTTCAAATAAATAATAATTTGTCCAAACTCATTTCTTGTGCATTTTGTTCTGGCCCACATAGCATTAAGACTTGTTTCAAATTCATAGCACTCTCAGTTGATGACCGTCTCAGTTGTGTAAAGAAAGAAAAACTCTGCCCGAGATGCCTGAAAAAAGGTAAGCACAGCTGGAAATTTTGTAGAGCTAAACAGTGCGATATTTGTAATCAAAATCATCATAAATTTTTACATGTTGAAAATAAATCGGAAAATTCGTTTTCACATAATACAAATATTGATGCTGTCATTTGTCAAAATGATAATTTGAATTTTTCTTCTGATAAAATAGTTCCGAGTACTAGTAGTAATAATATAATTTCTTTTTCAAATAAACAAAAGCAAAGAGATCGGATACTTTTGAAAATTTTACCTGTTATTTTGTATGGTCCGATTTCCAATATTGAAACTTTTGCACTTTTAGATGATGGGTCTTCGGTCTCAATGATCGATGCTGACTTAGCGAAGCAGTTAGGTCTCAGTGGTACGGAAGAGAGTATGAACATTACGACGGTAGTTGGTACACGTAATGTCACCACCAGCTTAGTAGATTTTAATATTAAGGGTAAACACTGCTCGGAGATACATACAATTAAGAAAGCCCGTACTGTACCTAATTTAAAGTTAGCATCACAATCGGTTGACACTAGTGAGTTAGTTTTAGAACATTTGCATGATCTTGTCGACGTTCTCTCGTATTCTAATGCTAAGCCAAAAGTTCTCATAGGATTGAGCGACTGGCATTTACTGATTGCTAGAGAGAATCGTATAGGTACTCGTTCCCAGCCGGTAGCCACTCACACGCCTCTGGGGTGGGTACTATACGGATTATCATCCAAGATTACTACGCCTGTTCAATTCATTAATCATTGTGTATTTTCTGAGGTAGACAACGACCTTGATATTTTAATTAGGGATTACTATAAGTTAGATTCTATCGGTTTAAAATTACGCGAGCCTTATACCGCTTCAGAGTCGAGAGCCATTCGTATTATGGAAAATACAATAACACGTCTTCCAAATGGTCGATTTGAGGTTGGTTTACCTTGGCGTGAGGATTCAGTAGTTATGCCTAATAGTTATCATCACGCCCTGTCTAGGTTGAATAGTTTAAACAAAGGATTCAAACGGGATCCTAATTATCAATTATTGTACAAACAAAATATTGAGGCTTACGTTGAAAAAGGATATGCTGAGGAATGTGTGGTTGATGACGGTATTCTCTCAAATTCTAGGCTTTGGTATTTGCCACATTTCGGTGTGACAAATCCCAATAAACCGGGCAAGTTGAGAATTGTTCACGACGCATCTGCTAAGAGCAGCGGTGTTAGTTTAAACTCGTTACTATTGCCAGGTCCAGACTTACTTCAGTCATTGGTAGGTATCCTCATAAGATTTAGAGAGGGACAAGTAGCTTTGACAGGAGATATTAGAGAAATGTTTCCTCAAATTAAAATTCGTGAAGCCGATCGCAACTGTCAACGCTACTTGTGGCGACCAGATGGACCGGACGGGCAGGTTCGTGAGTTTAGGATGTCGTCTCTTATTTTTGGTGCAGCTTCGTCTCCTTTCACCGCCATTTATGTTAAAAATAAAAATGCTAGAGATTACGAGAAGCTGTTTCCTGAAGCAGCGAAAGCTATCATTGAAGATCATTACATGGACGATTTTCTGGGTAGTGTAGACGATGTTGACACTGGCGCTTGTCTTGCTAGGGATATTGTAGATGTTCACAGTAAGTGTGGTTTTGAGATGCGCGAATGGACGTCGAATAAACCAGAGGCTTTACGTTTTGTTATATAAGTTACGTAAAGATAATGGGTCTCATGTAAATCTTGATATAAATAAAGCTACTATAAGAGTTTTAGGTTTATTTTGGAATCCGATAAGTGATTATCTAAGTTTTAATGTAAATATTCAACAGCCCCATGATCTTCACTTAACTAAACGTCAGGTCTTGAAAGATTTAATGAGAATTTTCGATCCTTTAGGTTTTTTATGTCCCTTTATTACGCAGGGAAAGATTTTATTTCAACGAACATGGAAACTAGTTACTGGTTGGGATGACTCACTGCCTCCGAGTGAATGTGTCAAATGGCAGGATTGGTATCGTGGTTTTGAAACAATAAAAACGTTGACGATCCCGCGATGCTATTCGGACCATATTGACCCATCCTGTCGTGAGCTACATATTTTTTCTGATGCCAGCGATCAAGCTTACGCATGTGTTGCGTACTGGCGACTTAAATATCACGATGGTTCAATCAAAATTGCTTTTATCATGAGTAAATCACGAGTCAGCTCTCTTGAACCAACGCCTATAGCTAGGTTAGAGCTTCAGGCGGCTCTATTAGGTGTACGTTTAGCAGACACAATCACTCGGGATTGTAAACAAAAGATCAACGCACGTTATTTCTGGTGTGATTCGCGAGTAGCTTTATCGTGGATTAGAAGCGATGCACGCAACTTTAAAGCGTTTGTTGCGAATCGGGTCGGAGAAATTTCTGAGTCGACACTACCACGCGAATGGCGCTGGGTACCGTCAGAGCTTAATGTAGCAGACGATGCCACTCGCGTAACTGCCAAAAGCTCAATCGAGCTTAATAGATGGTTAAACGGACCGTCCTTCTTGATGGCAACTGAAGAGCAATGGCCAGTAGAGCCCGCTGCTGACCCCGTCGCTGGCCAGGATCTGAAGTGTCATCAGACAGTTTTGGCAGACTCTCGGCCCTATTTTAATATTATTCCAAATTCTAAAAACTTTAGCAACTGGCTGCGACTCTTACGAGCCACAGCCAGAGCTCACCAATTTCTACGCCTACTTATAGAAAGTAAGTCAAATAATGTATTTTCTAATAATAGATGTCGTTTTACTAATAGGGGTACACTACGTCCGCTTCTTTTTAAAGACATGAAGTCAGCAGAGCTCCATTTATTACGGCAAAGCCAGGCGGAGTCTTTTAGTCTCGAAATTGCAGCTTTACATCGTGATGAGCCACTTCCTAAATCCAGTAGAATTGGAAATCTCTCGATAAAGCTTAGTTCGGATGGACTACTACGCCTTGATGGAAGGATATCAGCTACGCCAGATCTCTGCGACGAAGTTAAGTGTCCTCCTATTTTAGATGGACGTAACGAAATCGTTCACTTGCTGGTCCAGTATTACCACATCTGGGCTTGTCATGGATATAATGAGACGGTTGTGAACGAATTGAGACAGAGGTATTGGATTCTTCATTTACGACCAACTGTTCGCTCAATTGCTGCTAGATGTCAAGCATGCCGCATAAAAAAGGCTTCAATCTCGATTCCACCTGAAGGAGATTTACCGGTATGCAGACTAGAACACCATCAACGTCCGTTTCTGAACACCGGCCTTGACTATTTCGGTCCTATGGAGGTAACAATAGGAAGGAGACGCGAAAAGCGATATGTTGCGCTATTTACCTGTCTCTCCGTCAGAGCAGTACATCTGGAAATTGTTGGCAATTTGAGTGCAGATGCTGCTATTATGGCACTTAGACGTTTCATGTCACGCCGCGGAGTACCAAGCAAGATCTTTTCTGATAACGGCACGGCATTTGTTGGAGCTAGTCGAGAGATAAGAACGATGTGGAGAGCCATGAATCATGCAGAAGTAGCAGATTACGCGACATCTCGTGGTATAGAATGGAACTTTATTCCCCCCCTCTCTCCATTCATGGGCGGTTGTTGGGAAAGGCTAGTTCAGTCTGTTAAAAGAGCTCTTGCAGCGGTTGTCAAGAGTAAATCCTTTAAAGAAGAAACTCTTATCACGTTCTTAGCAGAGATAGAACACGTCATCAATTCGCGCCCATTAACCCACATATCGGTCGAAGCAGGAGAGGGACCTGATTGTATATGTTAATATTATAAAGAAACACTACTAACTAGGGCCAGGAAGGGAAACCGAAAAAGAACAATAGATAGTAGTGACAATTTAGAAGATAATTTTGGTATTCGAAATATAAAACATAAAATAGTTATAACCAAATAAGTGGCCTGTATTCCACATATTGCCCACCCCGTTAGGCTCGATACTAACAATAAATCATGGAATACAGGCATATAAAAAAAGTAGCAAAAATATTTACACACTTAGTTTAACAAGTTTGCGTACAGGACGCCTAAGCATCCCCCCAGCTGTTGCTACGTCCGCTACGCGAACTATTTCATCGCGTCCTGGATATACGGCGACTACACGGCCTTTGGGCCACACTCCACGAGCCATGTTTCCATCAGCAATCAGCACAATGTCACCAACAGCTAAATTTGTATATCGCTGCTGAGAGTTCCGCGTTGTACGTGGCGCTAGCTTTGGTACATACTCTTTCAGCCATCTTGACCAAAAATGGTCAGCTAGTCGAACAGCTTTACGCCAGTGCGATCTGCCAAGTAACACTCCGTCATCTAATGTGGTGGGGCCGGGAAGACCAGATGAGTGCCCAAGGAGGAAGTGATTCGGCGTGAGGGCATAGCTGAATAAACCATAAAAAGATTTCCTATAAAATACTTAATTATACCATTCTAATGGTAGTGTTTTTTGAACCTGTCACAATTTCAATAGATAAATAAGTCATAAAATTACTTCATAGAATTATACTTAATTATATCATGTTTCTAATTGCAGTGTTTTTTTACCTTTGAATGTTTATATATATATAGTATTTTGAAATATAAATTAACTCGAGCGGCGAGCTATGGATGTGAACGAATTAATAATAAAATATGTGTTAAATAATTTAATTTTTAGTTAATATAATATGTTTTTAAATAATTAATAACAAAATGTGTATATGGAATAAAGACAGGAGCTAATGGCAACGGACCTCTCTGCCTATCTCGTGAGGTATCTAGCGTGAGGATAGATAAATATATTGAAGTACAAAGCTTACTTCGTGTTGGATAAATCTTAAGACCTTTGGCAGTCTAATTCGGGTTACTATACCGTTATACTACAAGGGTAGCCGTATATTTGTTAGCGAACATATTATGTTGTGCTACAACAAATATGTTGAAATATTAGTAGTATTAATACTATTTTTAAGTTTCTATATAGAACAGTGAATTCCCATTTTTTCTTACAATATACTTTTTCTGTGTTGAAATTAAGCAGAAAGCAAGCAGCTGATTTTTGGCTCCGAACCGTAATTAACCCTAAATCGAATGAATCGCGGCTTGGGGCACTAAATGCACAGTCATGGTAGAAAATAGGCCATATTCGTAATTAGGTTAAAAGTAATAAGTTTTACCGTATAAGACATATTATATAAACCGGATATTTACTGTGATAGTAATATATGGGGCTACTATTATTTTTAACAATTGAGTAATTTGAGTAATGAACATTTGTAACAGTTACATATGTAGTGCACAGTCTATAGAAAAGTTCTGAAAATTTTCGGAAATTATAATAACATTATTACAAAGATCTGATCTGAAAATTATTGAATAGTGCAACACGCAAGTTTCTTGCTTGTTTCTCTTGCAAGAAGATAGCTTTCCAAATGAGTAGTAGATTAAAAAAAATAAGTATGACTATTCTAAATATAAATTAATTTGAATAAAGAATTTTCTATTCTATTAATGAAAAATGGTCGCATTATATTTAAAGTAATACGCTATCCGTCTTAACTGAGACCATCTCGGCCCTGACATCTGCAAGTTCCTAATTCATTAATCTCCCACCAGTCGCTCCGACCCGCTATAAATCTAACAAATTTTTATGACCCCAATTTACATTTCTCTTCAACCACCGAACTGGTATAATGAAGTATTTATTTGGTGGATTCAAGAATATTTTTTCGCAGATATTGTTTATCAAATGGAATACAAATAATTAATCAATGTAAATACGCTAGGGATGATCCTTAGACTTCGATATTAAGTTTTCGATATTATCGATACATCGATATTAAGTTATCGATAAAATTTCAAAACGCAAACTGCTATGCTATATTATCAGGAAGGATCTGATATTTTATGACCTAAAAAGGCAAGGTTAAACGAAATGCAAACTAATGTGATATTAAGAGAAAATCTCGATATATTCTCACCTAGTCATATTTTAACATTTAGGTATATAGATTGACGTTGATATCGATGTTTTTCTAATATCGAGCATCCCTAAAATAAGCGACAATAACTGCTATAAGTTTGAGTAGTACTACATAATTATTTATTTCTATCTTTATATTAGTTAATTAATACTTTTAGGTTTATATTCTTTTTAATTATTAATAATATCTTTTAAATTACTATCTATAGATTTTTTTTTGTAAACTGGAATAAAACAAACATATCCAAACTAAATTATAAGTGAAGTTTATCACAATACCTAATGTATTGTGTATGTTAAAACTGAAACGAAATCGGTCAAGCCGTTTCTGAGATCTCACAGACCTAAATTTTAATAATTATTGTTATGGGTTGGAGAGAACTCAATACAATTTGAGATGACAGGATGTAAGATATGAAATTTATAATTTAGAAATCTTACACAGTTAATAATTGACGGCTTCGGTAGTCTACCGCTTTTCTTCCGATGGTCGCGAGTTTGATTCCTTCGATTTTTCGCACGGTACAAACACATGTATTCATGAGCATGATTGTTTGCATCGGTCTGGATGTTTTCTATGTGTATTATGTATGTATTTAAAAAAATATATCTACGTATTCATATCAGTTGATAAGTACTCATAACACAAGCTCTGCTTACCGTGGGACTAGATGGAGCATTGTCCAGGGGTTATTTTTTTTATAATTATTATATATTTTGAAAATAATTGTGCTTAAGTAAAAACTGAAACTGCTGAACAAAAGGCCTTAGGTATTTTTTTTTTATTTTTTTTATTTAACTTCAATACAGAGAATTCAAAATATAGTACATTTGGCGGACTTAACATCATGCTGCATTTTCTACCAGTCAATCATAGGTGATGCGGAGATTAATTGGTGGTATGTTTTTATAATATTAATATCTCGTTAAGCGTCTCAATCTGATACTGAAGGGCGTAATATTATTGCCCTTATTCTCTCACCGATACCGGTTGGATATCGCTTTCAAATTATACCTTACACCACAGAGTAATAAATATTGTTGTAGTTTTATGTTATATGTGCATAGGTAAAAGTAAAAACTATAGAGAGGTATATCTATTTATTTATCTTTTATTGCATTATCTAAAATAATGTACAATTGGCGAGCTTAATGCAATATGGCATTCTTTACCAGCTAACCAAAAACAGAAAACGGGAATGTACAATAAAATAATTATAAATTTAAATATAAATTTAGAATAATAATAATAATAATAAAAAAAACCAGCAAAATCTGACAAAATATATAAAAAAAAAAAAATAATAATTTCTGATTACTCAGTACAGTATACAATAATTATTATAACTTATATTATACAATTAAGAAGCAGCACCTGTTTTATCTAAAGAGCTTCATACTTAGTGGCTTATCAGACTAAAAAGTGAAGAGTTTGAATAAGGCCGAAACCGAAAATCGAACCTAGCTCAGTCAACAGTCAAGTCAGTCAGTCAACAATACAACTATTAAGTGGGAATGGAACCTATTTAAGTAAGGATTAAGTATAATGCTATCTATATAGTTAGATGTGTAATACGTTTTGGCATTTTAAGATATTCTGGTAAATAGTTATTGTGAAATTATCTACAAGAGATGCGAAGTCGGGGCAATTGAAAGTATTTGCTACAACACAAGCTGACGATCGCATCTTGCATTTCAGAAAGAAGAATTTAATATCTTGAATTGTATACATTTAATTATACGTTAAAGTAAACGGAATCTTTCTTTTATGAGCACATCTCGTTTATAGTGCTAGTTTCTCTTTATAGCATACATACTTTATTGTAAGAGTACTCTCAGTACTATTATGTACTTTACTAGAAATTTCAACAACAGTTAAATAGCATGAAGATGTAAAACGCCAAGCCAAGGAAGGTAATAAAAACTGTACGAGACGTTCCATTTGTAAGACAATATTTCTAGTTTATTACAGAACATCGCGATTCTTACTTTTCTGCATATACCTTAAGATATGGCTAATAAAATAGGCTATAAAATATTACGAGATACTTGTGTCTCTATATGTATTATATTAGAAGATTTATACTGATATATGAATGAATACTGATTATGTAATGTACATATAATTGAACTGGAATGTTTTTATGAAACTAAAATATCTTCATTCGTGTCTATTGCGAGCTCTTATGATATGTCAAATCTACTCTAATCACTGTAATAGTTATTAATCATCTGGCAATTATTTTATTAATTCCCGCGATACAGGCTCGCCCAGTTCAGGGTCTAATGTATAATTAATTTTATATTTGTGTTTTAAAATAAATATTACGTGATATTATGAAGAGGAAAGAACTTGCATTGGCCCTTTTCTTTCCAATTATCCTTTCTTATTCCTGACGGGTATGACTTTAGTCTGAGCGTTCCACTAGGGGTTCGATTCTCGGTTCAGGCCGACGTAGTTTCGGTCGCCGTTTAAATGTGACGGGGAATCGATCAGAGGGGAAAAATTAATCTCGACATATTTTTGTAGTCTCCTTTATTTTTCCCGCGTAAAATATAATGCGCCACAGATACACAATACTGCACGGTGTGCAGTCACACTAGGATGACGATCGCGTTATAGCTGTATGTGATGTTAATACTAGTAGAAGTGTTAACACACGTGATAATGTGATACCGTAAGTTATAGTTAATACCTTGAACCTAAATAGGCAAAACCTAAAAATAATTATAGGGACAATAACGGGCCACTGTTCCTTAAATAAACACCTGTACAAAATAGGTGCTACAGACAGCACC